TTCTCAAACCATTATGTTTCTGTGCAGGATCTGAGTACGGGGAAGACGATTGGAGTGGGCCGTGAGTCACGGGGTCTGTTCTACCTGGTTGTGCCGAGTCCGTCAGTTGCTTGTTCTCTCACAGAATCTCCACAACTCATCCACAGTCGCCTCGGTCATCCTAGTCTTTCAAAACTGCAGAAGATGGTTCCTCTTTTATCTAGTCTTCAGACTCATACGCTCCTCCTTTGCCAATCGAGTCAATAAACGAGCTGATGCTCCTTTTTCAATTATTCATTCAGATATTTGGGATCCAAGTCGTACTGTGTCTGTTTTAGGGTTTCGATACTTTGTTACCTTTATTGATGATTTTTCACATTGTATTTGGATTTATTTAATAAAAAACCGTTCTGAGTTATTTTCTATTTATCAAAAATTCTCTGCTGAAATTCAAACTCAATTTGGTGCTTCTATTCGTATTTTACGTAGTGATAATGCTAAGGAATATGTTTCTGTTGACTTTTCTAATTTCTTAGCCACACAGGGTAGTTTACACCAAACCACTTGTCCTCACACTCCACAACAAAATGGAGTAGCTGAACGTAAAAATAGGCATCTCATTGAGACTGCACGAACTCTTCTTATTCACATGCATGTTCCTCTTCACTTCTGGGCCGATGCAGTCCTTGCCTCTTGTTTTCTCATCAACCGTATGTCTTCATCTGTGCTTAATAATGACATCCCTTATAACTTGTTGCTTCCAAATGTTCCTCTCTATCCTCTATCCCCACATGTCTTTGGTTGTACCTGCTTTGTTCATGATCTCACCCCTGGTAAGGACAAGTTAACATCCAAAGCCTTTAAGTGTATTTTTCTTGGTTATTCTCGTCTTCAAAAGGGTTATCGTTGTTATTCTCCTAATCTTAAGCGTTACTTTGTTTCCGCTGATGTCACTTTTCTTGATCAACAACCCTTTAATTCTATCTCATCTCAATTGTCACAGGTTGATCATGTTCTTCCTGTTCCTTTTCTTGACTTGCCTTTGCCAGCTGCAGATACTTCTATTCCAGATGAGCAACCTATTGCTTCCATACTTGAGGACCGTCCAATTTTTACCTATCAGCGTTGTAAAACTGTGCCTCCCGTTGACTCGACTCTTGCTGACTCATCGCCCCCTGCTGTTGATTCTTCTCCTCCGGCTCCTTCACCAGAGACTCTTCCCATTGCTCAAAGAAAAGGTACACGTACTACTTGTAACCCTTATCCTCTTTATACCTTTTTGAGCTATGACTGTCTTGCTCCTCCTCATTTCACCTTTGTTTCTAGTCTTTCTTTTGTTTCTATTCCTAAGACCACAGGTGAAGCACTTTCCCATCCAGGGTGGTGCCAAGCGATGCTTGATGAGATGACTGCACTTCATTCCAATGGCACTTGGTACCTTGTTTCTGCTCCTTCAGAAAAGTCTATAGTTGGTTGTCGCTGGGTTTTTACTGTGAAAGTTGGACCTGATTGCCATATTAATCGTCTCAAGGAACGCTTAGTTGCAAAGGGTTTTACTCAAATCTTCGACCTTGATTATAGCGACACATTTTCTCCGGTCGCTAAGATAGCATCGGTTCGCTTGTTTCTTGCTCTTGCTGTTGTTCGTCACTGGCCACTCCTTCAACCTGACATCAAAAATGCCTTTCTTCATGGTGATTTACAAGAAGTTTACATGGAGCAACCACTTGGTTTTGTTGCTCAAGGGGTGTCTGGGAAGGTGTGTCGTCTTCGCAGATCCTTATATGGTCTCAAGTAGTCTCCTCGGGCATGGTTCAGTCGCTTCAGTTCTGTTGTTCAGGCGTTTGGCTTAATCCGCAGTAAAGTTGACCATTCTGTATTTTATAGGATTACATCTCCTGATAAGTGCATCTATTTGCTAGTCTATGTTGATGACATCATTCTCACCAGAAGTGATCAAGCTGGAATTCGTCAGTTAAAACAACATTTATTCAGTCAATTTCAAACAAAGGACCTTGGGAAGCTGCGTTACTTCTTGAGAATTGAGTTGGCACAATCTAGACAGGGCATTTCTATCTGTCAAAGGAAATATGCCTTGGATATCCTAGAAGAGACTGGTATGTTGGGGTGTAAACCAATTGATACACCCATGGATCCCAATGTCAAGTTATTGCCCGGACAGGGGGAGCCGTTATCTTATCCTGGTCGTTATCGGAGGCTAATTGGGAAGCTCAATTATCTTACCATGACTAGGCCAGACATTTCTTTTGCTGTTAGTACGGCTAGTCAGTTCCTTGATTCCCCTTGTGATTCTCATTGGGATGCTGCTGTGAGGATCCTCCGATACATCAAAGGAGCACCAGGAAAAGGTTTGTTATATTCGGATTAGGGAAATACATAAATTTGTAGTTATTCAGATGCTGATTGGGCAGGATCACCCTCAGACAGGCGCTCTAATTCTGGCTATTGTGTCTTCTTTGGAGGAAACTTAATTTCTTGGAAGAGAAAGAAACAACCTGTTGTTGCCCGATCGAGTGCAGAAGCTGAGTATCGTGCAATGGCAATTACTACCTGTGAGTTAATCTGGTTAAAGCAGTTGATTCAGGAGCTTCATCTTTGTGAACAGAAACAACTCATGACACTCATTTGTGATAATCAAGCTGCGCTACATATATCCTCTAATCCTGTATTTCATGAGAGAACCAAACATATAGAGATTGATTGTCACTTCATTCGAGAAAGGATTCAGTCAGGAGAAATCAAAACAGCTTTTGTCAACTCTAATGATCAACTAGCGGATGTCTTCACTAAAGCTCTTAGAGGTCCTCGGGTTGAATACATTTGTAGCAAGCTTGGTGCTCACAATATATACGCATCAGCTTGAGGGAGAGTGTTAGAACATGAAATATTAGATATGATTAGATTTGATTAGATTTGAATAGATTACTTCCTATCTGTAAATATTATTTTTGGATTAGATCTGGGCTTCTCACTTAAGTCCATTAGGGTCTTTATATATTGTAACTCTTTGTATTAGCTTAATACACAACACATTATTTTATATTCAAGTGTCTTTAAAGAAGTGCATGTTCTCTTAATGATGGTTTGTACAAATTAGGGAGAATATCTTATGTTTGGGATCTTGTTGATGAGATGAATGATAGAGGCCAACCAGCCAATATAATCAGTTTTTCCTCCTTATATGCTTTATGCAAAAACCACCATCTTGACAAGGAGATTGCACTATTTACATATATTAAAGACTAAGGTATTTAGCTTCATGTGTCAATATACAATATACTTATTGATGGACTATGCAAAGGTTGCAGACTTAAGAATGCACCAGATGTTTTTCAGGATCTTTGATTAAAGACTATCATTTAGATGTCCAGGTGTGCACTGTTATGATCAATGTCACACGTATAGTAATCTTGTAGTCAGTTAGACTGTCATATCTCCAGTAACAGACTCATAACTACCCTAGGATTCTGTTGTGATTTTCTTATCTGAATCTATAAAATATGTAAACTGAGCACAGAACTTGATTGAGATGTATAATACATTCACTTCACTTCCAGCCTAAATTCCAAGATGATCCGAATCCATTCCTATTCCCCAACTTAACTAGTACTCTTTCCTCCCACTTCCAAACCTCTTAACAGAATTCAGTTTACTAGCTTCAGGAACATTCTTTGTTAACAAACTTCTTGCGGACTCAACACTTGCCACATTTTCCTACTTCCCCTCCTTTTATACATCTTGCTTGGTCGAATCGTATTACTTTCAAGAAACAAATTAAATTTCTCTTCAAAGGTTTTTTTTTGTGTTTTTCTTATTACACAGAAATCAACAACTTATAGGAATATAAATCACTTAGCCAAATCACTTAACCAGCTGTACCTCTTATATACAGCTCTGTAAGCTTCTCACATAGGCCCCTAACCAACTAACGATCTAACTAACCCATCTGACTGACCTTATACAACAATTACAAACTTTTCTGACCTTGTAATTGTTGCCTGGGTATAGTCCTTCGGGAATATTCCAAATCCCTATATCAAATCCAAGTTGTAACAAAAATGTTCCTGAAGCTAGTAAACTGAATTCTGTTAGAGGTTTGGAAGTGGCGGAAAAGAGTACTAGTTAAGTTGGAGAATAGGAATGGATTCGGATCATGTTGGAATTTAGGCTGGAAATTGGGCTGGGAGAGTTCTGAGTCTCTCAAATACTCAAAAACTATCTTTTCATTTTCCTTTGTTATTTCAACTTCTTTCTCTATACTGTTACTGGCTGGATTATTGTTAGTTCAACTTCAATCAATACAACTTTTGTTCTGTTTTCTCTGATCCCTTTGTCCATTGTGTTTGGGTTGTAACAGATTGAATTAGCTGGAATAGATAGAGTACAGAGAAATGATATATAAAGTCATCTGGTTGTATTGCACTTATTTAAGTGTTAATACGAATAAGAAGATTGACTGTCTTAACTTAGGAAATAAGAAACTAGCAAGGGAAGATTGTTAGTTTCTTTCTTGGTTGTTTTTTTTGTGTTTCCTTAAATGAAGGCTAATTTCAATAATACTGTCTAAATGAAAAATGATATATCAGTAACTCAGTATTATGGACATTTAGATTGAATAATGTAAAAAGACACTAATGTATATAACTTTTAGTTTTTATTATTTACTTCAATATATCTCATGTTCTGCATGTTTGTAATTTTGTACTCAGGATGTAAACTTTCTTACTTTCTAGTTTGGTAATGTTTTATTGCATGTGTACGGTTCAGTGTTTGGGTGAATATGCATGCATAGCTATATTTTATAGCAGTTTGTCGATATTTTTTGTGTGTGGATATTCTGCACTTGCACATATTGGAACTCCATTAAGGTGAAATGCTTAAGGTGGTGTTTGGTTGGTGAGAAGTAAAAATTTTGATGGGTAAGTGTATGTGGGTATCTGTCTTCACCACGTTTGGTTGGGGATTTTCAGTAGATTTTCTCATCTAACTCACTTGGCTAGGAAACGAGAAAGAGGACCAAAAACTGGAGAAACGCACTGTTCAGAAACCGTTTGAAGATGTGGAATTGTTGTTCAAAATCGGATAAATGAAAAAGGTGATGAAATGTTGGTCAAGTTTACCCCTGCTTCAGTTTACTGCGTAAGAAAAAAAATAGGTTCCGGAGGGCATTTACTGCGTTTGGAGCTACTCAAGGTATTTTATTTCTACTTTCATTTTGATTTGAGAAAATACTGAGTTTCAATTCTTGTAGGTTTTTCACTTTCCGTGTAGATGCTACTCAAGGTATTTTATTTCTACTTTCATTTTGATTTGAGAAAATACTGAGTTTCAATTCTTGTAGGTTTTTCACTTTCCGTGTAGATTTGTTAATCTTGAATGCTGGTTTGTGGGAGTGAAATGGGAGTGGTAGAGAATAAGAACGAAGAACCCAATATGAAGAGAGCAAAACAGAGTGAGAACATTGAAGTTTTGATATCCACTGTTCCAGTCCACCATTTTGACTTCTATGTTCATGGTCGTGTTCCTCCCCAACTTGTGAAATTTAACAGTATAACATCACTTGATCTTTCCGTTAACAGGCAAATTTAACAGTATAACACGTAGGTGTTTTTTCGAGGATATTTTTGTAAATTTCATTAAATTTTCCCATCAATATTTTATCTTCAACCAAACACACATTCAGAAATTTAATTCAATTTTCCTGGTAAAATTTTGTCCAACCAAACAACTTTTTTACAACTTTCTTATCTAACTCACTTTTCCTCCAGATCCCTAGTATTTACATTTCCCTAATATTAAAAAATTTCTCCTCAATCAAACACTACCTAAGAGTTTCAAGATATAAGGGAAATGTTGATATGGCTGATAATTGTGTATTCTTACTCTATTTTCATACATTAGATTGATGCCTCTATTTTACTGGAATTTCCTTTTTAATTTTTTTAAAGCACCAACAGGACCCTTATTTTTACACCAAATATTTGAGGACAGAAAGAAAAGAAAAAAGATAAGAAAAACGCTTTGACACAGGTTTCTTCACTCTATTCAAAATTTCCTTGTTATCTCTGGGTTGTCTCATTTGGTTAATGGGCATTTTAAGAGTATTAATTGGACCATATTCTTCATTGCTAGAGCGTGGGAATTGAATGGCTGTGAAATAATGAATAAACTTACCGTGAATCATTTGCATTCTGATCATATCAGAGTTTTTTCTATCCACAATTTGACCTGGCTCTTGTGATCAAGGATCCATAATTTGTGTTATAGTAAAATGTAAATATACTTATTTTTATAAAATGTTTTTACACAAGTCAAACTTCGGTCAGAATGCTTATATTAAGCTATGTTGACTTATTTTACTAACATGATTGTAAATACGAAAAGAAAAACTAACGAAAGGATTGCTACCTATACAAAATTAAAGGTGAAAGATTAATAATGACAATTCAAAGTAGTTAATTGATCAATTAAAATGGTTAACTTTTTCTTCATATTAAATTTTTTTTTTTTGTATAACCATATTAATTTTGTATTGGTAGTTGTCCTTCTTGTTAATTCTTCATTAGAAAATGTACAAACCTAGATTTATGGTAAAACAAAATGCACAAAAAAAAGTGTTGGTGATTAAAATTTTAAAATCGAATAAATTTATGATTTTTTTCTTTTATTTTTACTGGACTTTTTAGCTGAAATATTGTTAGAAACTTTAACCTAAGCCATCAAGTTTTGTGAGACAAACTATAGTTAGAAAATTGGGTTAACATGCATGTGAAACAAATATGATTAGAGAAAAATAGTTCAATTAATAATATTTTGTTTAATTAAATCACTCATGTAACTTTGGGTGGTAGATAATAGTTAGGTAAAGCTCTTCTTGAATTTGAAGGGAAAAAAACTTATTTTCATTGTCTAATTTGTAAATTATTAAACTTTTAAGGAAAAAAAAAAAAAGCCTCATGTGCCCTATAAGAAATGAAAGATGTTTAAATAGGATTGAACCATTTGTTCATCATGAGAAAAATAAAATAAAATGGCCAAAAAAATAGAAGGCAGATACTTAAAATATTTAGTGATTGAGTAATGTTATACACCTGCATGTAAACAATTCCTTCATATCTGTTTCATCATTTGATTGTAATTGATCCCACCAAAATTTTTATCGTTCTCCCATTTTTTGGGAATGAATATGTGTGATGATTTCACTTGATCAAGCTGTATGAAAGTTTTTTTTAATAGACAAATCAATAATTATTTTTTTATCATTCTGTATTTTAATAAAAATTTTTATCTCTTATAATAGTTAATTTATTTATCAACAATTAAGAACTTTTTATTAAATATAAAATTATACGTGAGAGGGGATTGGTAATGGTACGCCACCTTATTGACGTAAGGGTTTTAGAGACAAAATAGTGCTATGTAATAAATATTTTCATTAGTGATTTCACACATAATTAGATGAATAACTTTATGAGTTTAATATTTCTTCATTTGTAAAAGATAATTTTTTATCTCCGTACAGTCTATATTTTTTCTTTCTCTTCGCGTAGGTTTCATATTTTTATGTGTATGTATGAGATAAATTTATCTATTGCAACACGAGAAATATTAGACTCAAAATTTATAGTTCTTTTTATTTTTCTTTTTTCTTTCATTTTAATTTTTTTTGTTTACAGACCTCAAGCATGAAGAGAGTTACATATATATAAAGGAATTCAAAAGTAAAGAAAACAAACAAAAATTCAAGCAACCATCATAAAGATTGAGACAAAGCTTCAAGAGTTGCATAGAACAAGTTGATTTCAAGTAACCACTATAAAGCGTGAGAAAAAGCTTCAAGAGTTGCATAGAAGAAGTTGAAGCGAGATGGAGTCTACGTCATCTCCGGTAGTGAACACGTACCCCCTCAGTAACTATACCTCCGGCAACAAGGAACGCAAGGTGGCGAAGGACACTTCCATTGCTGATCGTTTAGCTCGTATGAAACTCAAGTCAGAATCTTTTTTTATCTTTGTCAACACCCCATTTCAGTTTTCTTTCAGAAAGTTGAGTTCTTTCCTTAGATTTTTCCAAGCCCAATATAGTTTCTCAAGAAAGTTCAAATTTTTGCACTATTTTTTTTTACTTCCATTGAATGGATGATATTGGTCATGAAGAATTGGTTTATAAGATTAATGTGGGAGGTGTGATGATATTTGGGTATTAAGATTCTCTGCTTTATTTGATGTTCCATTGTATTTGCTTCAGTTTTTTCTCTGATATATAAAAAAGATAACATTTGATAAAGATCACAATCTTCTTGAATGAAAGTCTTTATTTCTCTGAAGTAATTTGAATACTTGAATTGCCACCAACATATTTTTCATTTTCCTTTTTTCTTTTTTTGGGTTTTAACTGTTAAGTTTTTTATTTTTGGGTATTAAGATTTTTCACCCTATTTAATGTTCCATTATTTATTTCAGTGCTTGTTTGATATTTTAAAAAGATACATTTTTTAGGAGATAAGATTCTTGTCTTGTGTGCTGCTCAAGTTCATATATGGCCAAATGGTTCTGAAATATAATTACTGCCTTTGTTTCTATTTTAAACTTCAGTTATATGAAAGAAGGAATGAGGACCAGCGTGGAAGGCATCTTAATGGTGTGTTGAGCGATTTATTTATTTCTTAATTAGTTTTAAGCGTCTTTGAATCTTTGCATTTAGCAATTTTGAGAATTCCGCATGGTTATCAATAAACATTGACACACAGTTGTTATTTTATATTTAAGTAGTAGTAGTATAGTAGTCATTGTTGAATATTTGTTATTTAAAAAAAAAAATCAGTTTCTACTCTCTTAAAGATATGTCTTTGGTACTTTAGTTGCTTTTTCTATGTCATTTTACGCAGTTAATTACATACGTCTTGCTTACTTTTAGTTTAAGTATAGCAATTAATCCCCTAATGCCCCTTATAATTTGTTAGAATTATTTTTGAAAAAGTGCTTGAATATTTTTTAACGAATGAGCTTATGTTAAGCTTGAATCTAGACTCTCTGAACATTGGAATGGTAGTGCTTTGTTTGTTCTGGTATCTCAGCATATGATTTGCTTTTGCAGGTATATGAAGACAATCATCCTCATGTACTTGTTCTGCAAATTGGAGGCACATTCCGCAGACTTCCAGGTGGGCGTCTCAAGCCAGGAGAGAATGGTAAGATCTTACTTTTCCTTTTTCTTCATATGATATATGATCTGTAAAGAGGTCGAGTCTTAGAGTATTGGTAAGGTTGCTCCTTGCGATTAGAAGGTTACATATTCGAGTTTGTAAAATAACTTCTTTGCAAGAAATTCAAGAGTAAGGCTGTATACGATCGACCCTCACTTCTACCCTCGCAAGTCGAGGAGCCTTGTGCACCTAGGATTTTCCCTTTTGATATATGACCCAAAATAGGAGTTCTTGGTTATTCTAAATTCCTAATGTACTGTTTATGTTACTGTAATTCTACTTTGTATGATAGAAATTGAAGGCTTGAAAAGAAAGTTGTCTAGCAAGCTTGCTGCTAATTCTCCAGATCTTGTGCCTGATTGGCAGGTATTAGTAGTTTTTAGAAGCAATGACTTGGAAGAGACAAGTTAAATTTATAGAAATTAAAAAAGTTATTTTGGACAAAGATTTCTGTCTTATGGAACAATCATACAAGGAAACTAAGGTGGTGTATGATTTATTTTTTATTTTCATTTTGAGTTAATATGTTTTCACTAATAATTACGAAAATGCCACATTGTTTTCGTTTTTTTCTTGTTTTAAAGAATTTGCAAAGGAAACCATGAAAAACACCAAAATCTTGTTTCATCATTGCCTTCACTACTTGAAAACAGGAAATTGTGAAAACAATGTGGCATTTTTGTAATTATAAACAGAAACATATCAACTGAAGATGAATGAAAACAAATAACAAACCAAATTTTTTGTATTCTATATTCACTGGTGCATCTTATCTCCAACTTATGTGGTCTTAGAATAAATTTTTTACCTGTTGTCTCCTGTTCATGTACACTTATCCTTGGAATCTTGTTGTTGCAGATAGGTGAGTGTGTGGGAACCTGGTGGAGGCCAAACTTTGAAACCCCTATGTATCCATACATCCCTGCCCACATACCAAAACCAAAGGTAGTTTGCCAACACTATGTCATTGAATATCTTGTAGTCCTTCTTTTCTTGGTCCATGATTACAAATATGTTAATTATTTATGCAGGAGTGCAAAAAACTTTTCATTGTTCATTTACCTGAGTGGGAGTACTTTGAAGTGCCCAAAAACATGAAACTTGTTGCCATTCCATTGTTTGAACTCTATGATAATTCTCAGGTATGGTAATTATATATAATTCACATGGACAATTTAAATGGTTGGTTTATCATCATTGAAATCCTTAATGCATAAACATGTCCATTGTCTGGAACTTTTTCAAGTGAATCATGTACATTTGATGTAGGACATTGTTGGGCTCATTAAAAATGGTTATGTTTTTTTTGGGCTCATCTAATGATGTATCATAACATCAATTTTGTATCTTATTTTCCCAACTATGTTTTTCAATCAAGATATGCATATAATGTTATATTTCGTCTTTATAAGACATTTGTGTATCACTTGGTTTCAGAGATATGATGCAGTTATTTCCGCAATCCCTCTGCAGCTTTCTAGATTCCAATTTAACTTGATTCCTAATTCTACGTAAATTGGGAGCTTCCTTGCTGATAAAGTACTGCTTCCTTTGGTATTTCAAGAACTAGGACCGAGTTAATGCATTCTTTATTCTTTATCACAACTACATAAATTGACTAGAGAACTGAGTTTTGGAAACTATAGCTTTAGCTTTTGTGACACAATTTATTTGTGTTGATTTGTTGAACTATGGGTTGATGTTGTATTGCATAGGGGTGTGTGAACGGATCTCAACCACACTAAACAAATCATTTTTTTTTTAAATTGGTTCAAAAATCGAGTAATCGTATTATTTTTTTCAAAACCGAACTGAACCACTTTATCAGTTTAGTTTAATTTGGGCTAAAAGTCGAATCGAACTTAACCATACCCACTCTTAGAAATGTGAAAAAAGTGAATGAATCAAATCGTGAATCAAATTGAATTGCATCACATTTTTTCGAGCCAGTTTAAGAACCAATTATTTTTTCCGAATCAATTTAAGAATCAATCATTTTTTTTCGAACTGATTTAAGAACCGAACCATTTTATAAAACTGGTTCGGTTTGCACGAACTGTGCACACCTATTGCAATTATACTAAGCGGTCCAGTTTAGTCAATTGACTAACCATGCATATAAATCGGTCAAAAATCGGTGAATGGGTCATAAATTTAGTTGAACCAGTGCTAATCCAGTACCAGTTTTTTGGGATTCAAACTTAGCACCTAATGGAAAGGAAGTAAAATGTTAATCACCAAGTCATATCACTTTTGGTTGTCATATTAATTTTATTTATATATTTATTATATATTTTTATATAAATTCAATTAACCAATTCAACCAGTGATATATTGGTTGAACCAATAACCTATTAACTCGATACTTTAACCAAATCGATGCAGGATTAAATTTCATACAGCAGAGTGGCAAGAGGGGGTTGAAATTCTGCATGGTATACTGTTACTATAACAATCTTTTTTGACATTTATGAAAGAAATATGTAACTCTTGCGTATATATTTAATGGCTTTTTTTTTTTTTCATGTCACATGAGGTCAGACATGATAAGTGATGGGTTTCATCACTTGTTAAAAAAGAAAGAAAAAATATAAAAAAATAGTACAGATTTTGATACCTCATAACATGATAAAACTATTTCTTATTCCATGAGAAAATGATTTCTCTATATTAAAAAGTGTAGTCACAATTTTTGTGTGCAGAAGTTGCAAATTTTTTCACCTGGTAGTTAGTATTAATAAAACAGAGTTTTTAAAGAATTACAAAAATAAACATATAACATTGTCATCTTTTTATCCAATGTTAAATTACCCACTATACATAATAATGATACTCCAACACAATTTATTCGTACATCCCATTTGCTTAAGGCAATTCTTTAATCTTGAGAAGTTCCATAGTAAAAATAATAATTTCAGAAAATAACTGACTTTATTACTAGATTCGTGTAGATTTTGTCTTTGTTGCCTTTCAGAGTATACCCAATCAGTATGTATATCATATTTGAATACAAAATGTATTTCAGAATAAAGATTATCCTTTTCTTTTGTACTATTTTTTCATTCGTATTAGTTCGAACTTGTATGCCCACACAGGGCGTGATTAGTAATTTGGAGAAAGACACTCTTCATTTGGGCAAATAAATCTTTGGTGCTACTGCTGTATCAAGATTCAGTGCATTTCATCAATGAAAGTATTACACATCATAGGAGAGAAAAAAAATTTGGCAGATAAAAAAAAACTTTAGCTGACATGAAATAATTTTATTGGTAGGATGTACTGAATCTTTGGTGTAACAGTAGCACCAAAGATTTATTCCATTTGGGCGTGATCCAGGAAAGAGACACTCCTTATTTGATCGTGTTTCACCAGGTGCTGTTACGTGTCACAAGAGTCGACAGTTTGACCGTAAAACTTTGAAAGTTCATAACTTTTGACTCGGGTGTCTGAATTAGGTAATTTTTTTTTGATTCCACATAACTTTTTGAGATCTATGTAATGACACCTCATTTGGCATATTTTGTCTGTCACAAAAAAAAATTTGAATTTACAATAATAATACCGTAAGAACGTTTAAACACAAATTAATAAAAAGAAAACCACTTTTTAATTAGGAGAAAGGAGAAGGTTAAAACTCAAATTAATAAAGAGGTAGTAACTATAACCTTCTCCTTTCTCCTAATTAAAAAGTGGTTTTCTCTTTATTAATTTGGGATTAAACGTTCTTATGTTATCATTGTTGTAAATTCAAATTTTTTGTGACAAACAAAATATGCCAAATGAGGTGTCATTACATAGATCTCGAAAAGTTATGTGGAATCAAAAAAAAATTACCTAATTCGGACACCCGCATCAAAAGTTATGGACTTCCAAAGTTCTACGATCAAACTGTTGATTTTTGTGCCACGTGGCAGCACCTAGTGAAACACGCCCAAATGGAGAGTGTCTCTCTCCAACCGGTCACACCCATGTGTGACGTATTTAAATGTTATATTTGTGTAAATAATTTCAAAACGATTATATTTTCATAATTTTTTATTGAAAAAACAATAAATTAATTTTTTTTGGCTACGAAAGAGTCTTAAGGCTTCATATTCTTAAAAATGAAGCTATATAGTTTATGTATATACAAACTTGTATAAAACACCTTTAAAAAGCTTGTAAAATAGATTAAAAAAGCACTGCGTATACAAAATTTTTATTGCATCTTCAACTTTAAGGAATGTTGTTAACATCTTAGTGTATGGTCGTAATACCAAAAAATGAAAATTAAGAGGTAGAGCACATACGGTGAAAAAATAAAATAAAATAAATAAAAAGTTTATAAAAAATAATATATAACTTATAAATATTTATGGATATAAAATAAATCACAAATAAAAATAATGATAAATATATATAATTCTACACAATATATAAAAATATATATATAATTGATAAAAATTAATTTATTAAAATAAATTATTTCAAACACACACTTGATTAATTGTATAAAAATTGGATTAATAGTGTTTCACTAACAAAACAAGCTGATTTTTTAATATAGTATACGAAAAATTATGAGATATATACATTAAAGACTAAAAATGTAATTACTCTTGAAATAAGCATGCATACTTAGTCTGATTATATTATTATAGAATTGAAAAAAATAACGCACCCACATAAATTATAAGTCACCTATAAAAGGAAATGTATATATGTCAGGAGCTATATGGATCACAGAGTTTATGTCTAGAATATTGCACAAATTTAAATCTTCATTTTTTTTTTCTTGAATAATAATTTGAAATAATTTCACTATAATGGAAAAATATATATTCAAGTTTAATTAATTTCACCTAATTTTAATCTCCACGACGTCAATTAATTTTTTTTTTTTTGTGGTAAATATGTCAATTGAATTTTAATAAAACAACACAAGTTGTTAAAGAAAATCAAATGACAGCAAATTTAAAACTAAAATCTCCTCTATTAATTGATCAATATATGTATATTTTAAAAAAGCAATTTAGTATTAATTTACTCTGAGGTTTATTTAAAATAATAATAATTAAAAAATTCACATAATTCAATTGACAAACATTATTATATGTAGATAAAGTTTTATATGAGATGTACTTTAAAGTATAACTAGTTATCTTACACTGAATGAGTTGATTAAATAAAATGTTATGAGTATGGGTTTTTCATTTAATTAATAAATATTTAGTGTATGTATAAATTAATTAATTTATTTTGTTTGAAAAATTATCCAAAATATTTTATAAATAATATTTAGTTAAAAATGTTAAACATAAAATATGATAGAGAAATTCATATTTAAAATTCATTAATTTAATTATTTTATTTATTTGAAACATGTATTTTTTAAAAATTATGTGAGTGATAATTTTATTTTATGAACCATTTTTATTGTATGATTTCACATTATTGTTTTAAGATGAAAGTAGATAGATCAAAATACAATATATTGAGTTCCATAAAATAATCCATAACTCTCTTTTCTATATCAATTTGTGTAAAGACAATGTATAATAACATTTAAAGAAAAAAAAGAAAAAAAAATACTACAAATTTGGACGGCCCATGGGTTAGCCTTAACTCTAAGAACTTTTTGTTCATTGGGATTTTTCATATTTAGGGAGTTTTGGCCCATGAAATTTTTAGCCCTGGGCCCTGGCCCATATAAGCAAAAGGCTAATGCGATTAATTGATCCATTTTAACATATCTAATTAAATGAATCTTGAAAAAACAAACAACTTATTAATTTGATGATAATTTGTCTGATTTTTTATTTTATTTTTTGTTTTGGGTGAAAGGTTTGAATTGGCTATTGACATTGGAGCAACCCTCAAGGTTAAGCTGAAATGTGCAATCTCTTCCAGCCTGGAATTAAGTTCAAATGCAACCAACTTAAACAATGTTTATCATTTTGGTCGGTAGTTAAGCATATAATTATTGGGTTTATGGTTTCTCCATTAATATGAGATAAAATTATCTTCATCAATCCTAAAACTACGTTGTTTTGTGTTAAGGGAAATTAATGAAGCGTGTTCATAGTAAAATTCGTATAAAAAGAAATAAATGAAATTCCTAAAACATCATTCATTAATTCCTCCAACCTACATTTAGTTTTGAAATTGATAGAGATAATCTTATTTCATGTTAATGGAGAAACAATAAACTCATAATTATTATCTATAGTTAAATACAAGAACCAAAGAATATACCTTCCAAAAAAAAAATTCCGTGATTTGAATATAGAAATTAGTGTACGAGTTTGGCATATGAAACTGACATAGCAAAATAAAAACCACACAAAGTCTTTGTGTCAATCTCTTGATAATGATTATATATTCATAATAGAGGAGTTGACTGTTGACTTAATTCGAAGCTTCCGTGCACGAGATTTATGTGAGTGTTAAAGTAAGGATACTGATTTAATTAAAGGTTTCTCTTTTCTAATGTCACATGAGGTTCCATCTCTCGTGCCATAGACACAACAAGTGGTGGGGTCCACCACTTGTTAAAAAAAAAACAAAAAAACAAAAAAACAAAA